AGTTGTTGCTTCGGAAAGTGTAATAACTCGTGCTCATCTCAAATTTTCCTCGTTAATTGATCTAAATTTGTTATTTCTTATAACTTTTGTAATTTCAATACTGATTAGAAAAAGCTCTTCACAAAACTCCCAAATCTGCTTTCAGATTGAAAATTCGTCATATTTGAAGAAAGTTATAATCATTTGAATATTTGTTCAAATTTCAATAGTAAATAAGCTGCTCCACGGTCAACGCCAAAGTCAGTCAACACACAGCTGGCGAAGGCGGTTAAAGCTTCTTTCAACTGAAAGGGGGACGTGTAAATTGAGAACCATAATCTGTGTAGTACTAGAATTTGGTAAGTCTTGTGAAGGAAATAAATAAGAAGAGATGTTGTCATAGTATGCCATTTTTAGTGGCTAGTTTGTCGTTTTCTGGTCTGTTTCTCGTTTGCTCGTTTGGTAGGACTCATCAATAATGATTATTCTTTGACTTTTTCACTTTTGTACTTCTTAAACGAATTTTTTTGTGGGCGGTGGGGTAGCAGGGCTTTTTTATGAGCAGTTTTGGGGGAGAATTAAACAAGCTTTTCAACCTTTTCATAGTTCGGCTTTTGAAGAGGGTTGTTTCATGGACTTCGGCCTCCGGCGGAGGGTGGGGGGGGGGGTCGTATTTCCAAATTTTCCTCAACGCCTCGCTTGACCCTGGTTGTGAGTGTCTCTTCTCAGGTCGACATTATCGACGGATTCTTCAGGACAAGAATATGTCTTCCAGATAATTATTTTATGAGTGTTAGTATGTAATATTTAGTTACTCCATGACCTCCCCTATCACATCTTAGACGAGAAACTTCGAAGACAGGTTCCGGCTAACTCTCTACTGACTGCACTTCGCTAAACTCTCTACATGACCACCTATGGGCTGACCAGTAGCAAAACTGCCTTTCGGGTCGTCACCTTTTGAATCACCAGCGAAGTGAATTGCCATGTTCATCTGCAGGCTTGAATTCCGAAACAGGACGCTGATAGAACAAGGTCTCTGTACTGTTGACAGGTCCATAAGCTTTATTAAAAATGATGTCGATCTTGCTCCTTAGATAAAGTCACATATTTGTTCAGGCTTTGCGAATAGACATGAATTCGGAGTGAATGCAACGTGGAACGAGATTCTGATAAGTATTGAAATACTGAAAATTTGGAGGCCACAAATGGGAGCCTTCACCTCACATGTTACTCTCACCGCACTGTTTTTTTATTTTTTTTTTTTTTTTATGCCGTGACTTGGCAATTGCAATCACCCACATAAACGGTAACCTTGTCTCGGTGAAATTTAAAAAGCATGAGAATTGCTTCGCAGGTTCCATGCTTCACGAGAACGCCCTTGCAAGTACTCGGGCTTGTGCAGCGAGCCCCCGACTCTCAGAGTCTACGGTATATATGATAAACATGATTCCAGTGTTACATAAGTCAGAGAAGGTAACCGAAGCCATGATACTATCGCCAGTAATTCCACGCATGTCAAAGAAGCGGGGATTTTTGAAGTTGATTAACAACCAGCCATCGGTACCGTCTAAATAGGACTTTTTTCATCCGAAAAAGAACTGAATACACCTGTGCAGGATTTCGCATCAGGAAAAAGGATCACCGCAACATGTCGACGCGATGAGTTTGCACTGGCGATCTCCGCAAACATACGAAAGTACATGACCAGCACGAATATCTTGAGTGTCACTGAAATCCATTCTACATAATACAGTAGCCAGAGTGTACAGCACTATTGCAAAATGCAGTCTAGATGGGTTGGAGCCAGAACTCGCGCAGACATCGCTCCAAGCACGCGCTCTCCACAGCTGAAAGTGGGCCGGTTGCCCCGCCTACTTCAAGAGCGTTCAATTCCCTTCTACAAATTTTCCGGGCTGAGATTTAGTTCATTGTCACTTCTTATGTACTTGACTAGGGCTAGTGCATCTTCCATCCCACTAGGATCCAACGGTCAAAACTCTGCCGGGGCTGGTGCTTTAAGTGGCGTGGCAGAACTGGAAAGTGATTGCTGGATATGACGTACTCCGTATACGAATGATACCTGAAAATGTCCAAAGATTCTGTTATCTCACAAAACAACTGATTTTTCATTAAATTTTGATTCAGTCAGGGAATACCCCGTATTGCCCAGCTGTGAAGTATTTTACATCTAGAACTTTTCTGTCTCAAAGTCTCATGTTGATCTAAATGTGTAATAAACAATGTGAGACTTCAAAATTTATTGCAAAAGACTCAAAACTTTCTACAAAAGAAATTGCAAAAATGTGTTTGTGCAAAGTTTGCAAAAGTTTAAGCCTTCTTGGCGAGCTTTCGGCGCTTGGCACCTTTGTCAGCAAACTAGTCTCATATATTAAATTAAATTACATATATTAAATTTCTTAAAACTTGTTACTGGGGAAAAGCTTGAACGGTACCGATTCACTAAGAAACAATGTGCCTTTACTAAGCGCAGCGATAGAATCGCAAATGGAAACTTGACAGGTAAAATCATCTTGGCCGGATTGCCTATATGCTTTCGAAACAGAGTGCAGGGCTTTTGAATTTTCTCACAGAAATGTTTCTACTTGCTGTTTCCCGAAATGGACTGGGTTGTAATTTCTAAGTATGCCGAATCTAACCAATGAGGTAACAAGCCGTGAAATCCCAATCATCACTCGGCACATCTGTGGGGAGGGTTTATAGTTTTGAAACGCACTGTAGAAATCCAAGACAGAATAGCGACCTGTGAACCTGTACCTCTGGACCTTTAAAAAAAGAGAAATGCCTGGTTTTTTGCTTTAAGATTTGAGTTATTTCAGCATAGCTCGCATATAGGCCGCGTTCATAGTTCGCGACACCGGAGATCAGGATAGTAGGATAGTCGGAGAGTAGGATAGTAGGATACTGAGCGACTGGCGATAGGAGAGTAGGAGAGTAGGATAGTAGGAGATTGCGCTGACAAGATTAGATACGTATCGACTGAAATCGCCGGAGAGTAGGATATTACGATATTACGATAGTAGGATAGTAGTAGATTCCGCTGAACAGATTAGATACATATTGATCAGGATATTAGGATAGTAGGATATTAGTAGAGTACGAGATTAGGATAGTAGGATAGTAAGCGACTTAGGATAGTAGGATACTGAGCTGACTGGCGATAGGAGAGTAGGAGAGTAGGATAGTAGTAGATTAGGATAGTAGGATACTGAGCGACTGGCGATAGGAGAGTAGGAGAGTAGGATAGTCGGAGATTCCG